GAGGAAAGAAAGAAAGAAAGAAAGAAAGAAAGAAAGAAAGAAAGAAAGAAAGAAAGAAAGAAAGAAAGAAAGAAAGAAAGAAAGAAAGAAAGAAAAAAAGAAAGAAAGAGAACAAAAACACTGTTGTGGTTTCATTGTTCAATTGTCTGACTGTTTAAATTTGTTGCAGCACTGTTTATATCCACACATGTAGCCATAGGCAGCCAGTTGGTCCGAAACCTCCCGGGATATCTACTGCTCCTTCCACCTCACGTTGTGTGCACAAATCATCTTCACCTCTCTCCATCTCCTGGATTTGGCAATCCATTGGGGGGGGGGGATAGATTAATTATTTAAATGTGGAAAGGAATGATTTAAGAGCATAATATGCCTCCTTAAAACAAAGATCCCATGTGACCAGTTCACTCGGACAACGCAAATTTAGCTAATATTTGTAAAAGTGACTGAAACATAAAGACTATTTTGCTGACTAAAGCTAATCAGTTGTGGCCAGCACATAATAATAATAATAATAGAAAAATCTGATAGGATGTAAAACCTTTTGCCAAAATATGTTCATCTGAAAGTAATATGTTCAATTGAGAGTGTGATTTAAATACAAGAAACCATCTCAGTTCTCAGACCTGCATATTTATACGTTACCACTTCAGAGTGCTGGGCCATTCACTCAAAACCAGATGATAGCATCACATAGGTGCTGTAGATTTGCCGGCTGCACAGCCATGATGCAGATCTCCCATTCCACCATATCCTAATTGGTTTAAGATCTAGTGACTTTGGAGGTCATTCGAGTACAGTGATACATTGATTGTTCTGTACCTGACCAACACTTCTACAATCATCCATGCGCCTGTTTAAGAGGTGCATCATGCTACGATCACACCGAATGCGTTTTGAGCTGCAGAAGCGGCCGGTTTACATGCAAAGTCTATGGAGGATGCGCCTCTAGGGGTCGTGCGTCGCATCATGTACGTTTTGGGCGGCGTGCAAGATGGCGGAAGCATTTTCCACGCATGCGGTGCTGCGGAAGCCGCCGCCGCCGCCAGAGTTGAAATATCTGAATTTTTCGCCGCTTGACGCGTCTCCCACTGAAAACCGAAACAGACGGACTGGAGATCTTTACCTGAAATCGACCGTGTGCAGTTGGATTTTCTGGCAGGATATACAGTATCAGCGTCGATGTGGATCAGCTGCTCGGGACAAAAAAAAAGTCCATGAGCTGGGAGCTTCTGGAGTGACGAAACTAACCGAACAAATCACCTCTAAATCATCTGGTGAGTTAATTATCTGCTGTGCGCAACGTTCGCTTGCTCTTTAGTAAATAAATCAAAGCCATTTTCTTTTATTTTATCTTTATTCACCCGCCGAGGACACGCTCCTCCCACACCCTGCTGCCGCCGCTGCTGCTGCTTCTCGTTCTGGTCTGAACACCAGTGCGTTCTTCGGTCTGAACATAGTGCGTCCAACTTGAGGCGTTTTGCGCTTTTTGGCCTCTCAAAACGCGTTTGATGTGAACGTAGCATAAATGTTTGTGAGGTCAGGTTAAAATGCACAAGCTTTAATAGATTCAACAAGATAACATTATCACGTTGCATTGTCTTCTTTGTTGGTAGATTTTTTTCACGATAATTCAACTTGTAGCTGTTCACCTGCAGTGCCCTGCTGTCATCTATTAATGTCACTATTACAAAGAAGGTGTAATCTTTGCTAAAGTTTGAAGCTGTATTAACTCAGATCAGAATTCATAATAATTACTAGACCGTTCTTTCAAAGGTGCTCTGAGTGTTTCTACCCCACAAAGGGGGAAGAAGAGA